ACAGGCGGAAAGGAAGGAGCAGGCAGGCCTCAGCCATGCCTGTGCTACGATCAAGGCGGGGGTGAGGAGGGAGTCTCCAAGGGAAATTTCCCTTCAGCTTGGCGTGAGCTCTGCCCCTGTTCCCACTGGTATAAATGGGAGTGACTTTACTGGCTGCAATACCTGTCACACGCGTTGGGTTTTGAGATTCCCAAAAGCTGTCAGACCCCCTTAATAAAGGGAAGAGTCACATGTGATCACAGCCTGCAGATTCCTCCACACTGAAAAACACTCAACAACATGGAATATTTAATGTAAGGAAAAGTGGTTGACAGATGAAGCTGGAGGTAAAAACTGTCCTTTTACCTCTGCATTCATTATAGGAACAGAAACTGGGAAAAGCACAGACCTGTTGACGTGGGCAGCATTTGGTGCCTGTCCATATTATGTTCCATTTAAACAGACTTTTACTGTTTTTTTCCTAACAGAGCAGCAGGAAACCACAGATTCAGACATGCTGTGATCACCACAAAGCCCTACAGATTAAAATAAATAAATAAAAGGACCTGTCTTTCTCCAGAGCCTTTGTGCCAGGTGTGAATCAAGGGCGCTGGACCGTGTTTGCCCAGTCTAAGCAAAAGGGAACCGGCTCAGTGCTCTCTTTGTCTCTCATCTGCTGTGCCTGGTGCCAGCCCTGCTGATGCCTCAGCACCTGGGGCTGGCTCCATCTGCCTCCCTGTGCTGACTCCAGTGCTTGTTGTTACGTGTTCTGCCTGCACAGCCAGTTCCCAGGCTGCCTCGCTCAGGTGATCCCTTCCCTGGCTGGACCTGCTCCGCTGCTTTGGGACACTCCCAGGAGCCGAGGCTGCCTGCAGCACCCAGGAAGGAGCTGCCTGCGAGGAAGCAGGGCTGGATCCCAGAGTCTGCAAAGGGCTGGGAAGACCCAGTCTGTTCCCCAGACCCCTTACAAGCAAGTACAGACTAAAGTTCCTGGGCTCAACACCTCATCTTCTCACTGCCCTAGACAGCACCAAGAACAGAAAGGCAGCACAGACAGACTGTTTTTCAGCCACACTCTGCACAGCCAGCCACAAACCCCTCTGTGCTATCAACTCAAAGGACTTCCAAACTATGGGCAAGAAATGAATCAAGGCACTCTTGATCCCTGTGATGGGCCTCACCTGGCCTGTACACCACATTCAGTGGCATCACTGACATCTCTTACGCTGGGCTGTGAAAAAAATTCATGTTTCCAAAATGGTTCTATAAATGAAGTTTACAAATCAATTATTTAAAAGAAAATATTTGGCCTCAAAAAAATAGGAAGATCCTATGCAAATAAACTGCTGATGTTCTGGGAGGGTTGGGTTTAGGAGAGGACAGCAATGCCTGAGGGAAAATGACTGGAGCAGACATGGTGACAATGAGACATGGAAAGTGTTAGCTTGCTCTCAAGAAAATGTTGTACTTGGTACATGATCTAGAAAGGGACCTGTCTCCTCAAATATGGTTTAAGGTGTGGGGTTTTTAATTCTGCACTGTGTGATGGAAGGACAAGCCAGTGCCTTCTGATCTTGCTGCAGAGGAAGAACCTGTATGAACAGCAGGACATGCTCGTCCTCTCCAGAAGCTGCTTCTCATTTTCCATCCCAAGGGTTGGACTTCTCCTGAAAAGGATCCTGCCGGTCCTACAGGGGTGCAGGATCTGTAATTCTGAAGTGTAGCCCAGAATTTCCTGGTGGCAGGAATTGTTCAAGAGCTGGGGCAAAGAGGAAGCTGCCCCGTCCCTGGAAGTGTCCAAGGCCACGTTGGATGGGGTTTGGAGACCCCTGGCTAGTGTAAGGTGTCCATGGTAGGGGGTTGGAGGAGATGGTCTTGAAGGTCCCTTCCAACCCAAACCATTCCATGGCTGCATGATAATGGATGCTGGACACCCTCCCATGAACTCTCTTCTCACCAAGCAGGGCTAAGGCACATTCCTCACAACAGGACAGGGAAATATGGCAAATAACCCAGACTAGGCACTTTTTTAGCTACAACTGCCTCTGCCAAGTCCTAATTCTTATTTTTCTCTTTCCATTCTTCTCTTGGATTTCCTGCTGAGTCTTATCATGTTCTCCTTCTCAACGTCCTCTTCAGGCAATATGCTCAAAGCCTGGGTTACTGTTAGAATTTCTGGCTGGAATTTGTTATTCCTGTTACAATGCCATATAATGCTCCCAGACATGCTTCTCCTTTGGTCATCTGAACAGCTGATCACTCTATATTAATCACCTGAGAGAATGACACCCCATTCTTCACTCTGGATGGTCTTATGTGGATCTCAGTCACCCTTAAAAAACAGACAGTACCTCTGCCTGCTGCTGGGAGTTTCACTGCAGAAGTTTTGGCCATCAGATGAGAAATTGCTTCAATTAATCAAATTTTCAGTGAGCTTCCAGAGATGGCAGCTGTACTTTCTGTGTTCATACCTGTGGCAGCTGACCCTGAGAAATGGCTCCAAGAACACTTTCTGTGTCTCAGGTGAGCAGTGAATGCCCTGAGTGCTGCAGGCATGTGGCAGAGTAGAACTGGTGCCTAGTCTGCACCTCTAAAACCCACTGGACTCTCACTCATCTCTGCTGACTAGGGCAAGGGTTCCCACAGAACATTCTTTGCTGGAGAATCAGAAAGTGACCAGACATTCAGAATATCCAGGGGATCTTTCTGCAGGCCAGAGGAAGGGAAAAGTGGCGGAAGAATTATATGTTGTAATTTTCTGTGTGAAGTGGTTACTGAGACACCTGTCAACGTGTCCCACAGTGGCAGCATGTGAACCTGTCAGCCTTAACTGTCCCATGCAGCAAGGGTACACAGTGGACAGGGAAATCAGAGCTGTGGAGAGTCACCTGCACAAAACCTGACGTTTACAGCAGCTGGAAATGAAATGTCATCCTGCATGCGAAAGGTGTCTCTTAGCAGACTATCTGAATGATCACAGAATCCTTTGGGTTGGAAAAGCCCCCTGAGAGCCTCGAGTCCAACAGCTCTCCCAGCACTGACAAGGCCACCACTAACCCATGTCCCAGTGCCACATCTACAGTAGCAATGCTCATGCCACATTCACTATCCTGCAACCAATCCCTTCCCCTGGGTTTTTATTCAAAAGGCAGCAAGCATAAGGAAGTCTAAAACAGAGAACTTAAAAAAAAAAAGGACAATCAGGGTAAGGTCTAATTGAGGGGGAGAACCATGTGCTGCCCTTGACTTTTACTTCCCCCGCACACTGATTTTAGAAATGCACTCATCAATCTCCTCTTCCTCACTAAGACTACAAAAATCCAGCACATGGGGCCTGATAGTGTTCAGACGTGTCCCATGTAACTGTAAAATGCAAAGAATTCCAATCCTGCAGGGTTTGGAGGTGAATTTCCATTGCCTGGAAAGTTTTGGTTGCCAGAAAAAATATGTCTAGAACATGGGTGAATCTGTCCTGAGCCACAACCCTGCTCTGACACAAGCATACAGACATTTCCACACTTAAAGAATCTCAGAATCAGAGACTGGTTAGAGTTGGAAAGGACCTTCAAACCCATCTTGTTTCACCCCCCTGCCATGGGCAGGAACATTTTCCAATAGACCAGGTTGCTCCCAGCCCCATCCCAGCCTTGAACCTTCCAGGGATGGGGGAACAACAACTTTTTCCTTTGGCATGCAATTTCCCCTAAACCATATGAAGAGCAAGACCTTTTTCCCCCCTCAGAATACTCCTATTGCCAGGTCACAGCAAATCCAACTCTCTTTTTACCCCTCAAATGCAGCTATAAAGTCCCTCAGGTAAACAGCAGTGACACGAAAATGAAAACAACTTTCTCTCCCTAAAATGCAGCTCCCATGTGTCCATCTAATGGGGTTGGGACACACTGTGCTCTCCTGCCTCCTGATCCAGGGAGAACATCTGCACAGGGAACTGGGAACTGGTGCTCAGCACTGCTGACACTGTCACTGCTCTGGTTTGGGGTAGTTTCTGTTACTGACCTATTTTGGCCTCTCTTGCAGCTGAGCTTATTGCAGCTTCCACAAATTAGATGTTTTCAGCAGCAGAAGGATGTGATTAGTACTTCTGTTCCTTCACAGGTGCCTCTTCCCTTTCTAACTGGTCCAGATGGAGAACCCAATCCTCAGGCCAGGCAAGATCCACAATTGACCCCTATTGACCCTGGCCAATTTAGAGTGAGCAACACGGAACCATCCCCTTCCTGTCCTCACACACAAGTCCTGAGGTCTGTCAGGCTCACACCTATGGAAAACTCAGCAAGTGCTAGCCCGTGTGCCTGTGCACACCTGTCCACAGGCATCTGTCCATGCTCCTGCCTGTACGTGCACGGCTGTGCCAGGGCTCGTGGGCCGTGTCAGCACTCAGTGCACACCCAATCCCTGCGTGTGGAATGCAGGGGCCTGAGGAGCTGCTTCCCAGACCTAGGCCCTCACAGCACATCCCCTCTGTCCCAATCTCCTGAGCATACATCCCTACAGCATACATCCTCTCCTGATCCAGGAGATCGGCTCGGGCTTTGTTATGGGGAGCTCAATCAGGCTGCAAAGGCTCTTCCCAAAGAATGAGGCTAAGTTTGGGAATATCTGCTCCTCAGGAATTTCTCAAAGGGGAGCAGACACAATTGGTTGATCTGAGGACAGAAGGGTTCCTTCCCTTGCCATCCCCGACACTGCTGGGACATTCCCTTCCCTCACCATCTCCAGTCCCTGCTGCCAGCACTGGGACATTCCCTTGCCCCCCTTGTCTCTCTCATCTCCTGTCTCTCTCCCTTCCTGCCACCGTGGCGTGACTGGGAGCTCGGGCCACTGGAGCCTTCTCGCATAGAAGCAGCAACCCCCTGCCCATGGACTGCCTATGGAATTCCCTGTCCCAGATGCCGGGTGCTCAGTCCTGTGCGGAGGAGCAGGACAGGCCCTCCCCAGCCCTTGCCCTCCACCTCAGGCAGCCATACAGGTACCCCGGGAGGTACCTGTCCTTCTCCTACCTTACCAGGGAAGCCGGGCAGTGGTGGGTAGGTAGTGGGTCACTCCCTGGCTCAGGCGGCCATGCAGGTACCCACGAAGTCTCCACCCTTCTCTACCTTCCCAGGTGAGCTGGGGCAGGTGGTGGGTCACTGTCTGCTCACTTGGACGTGCCTGCAACCTGATTCACCTGGGAGCCAGGCAAGCGAGGCTCCACCCAGGGCAGAGCGGGGGTGAGTAAGAGCGAGAGAAAGGCAAACTCCGGAGAGCTGTTCCCTCCCCAGGCGCGCAGGGAGCCAGAGATAAGGGCTGCGCATTCCTGAGCCGCCGGAGGCCTCTCCCTTCCGTCTGCCCCGAGCCTGTCAGACCAGCTCGGGGCTGGCAGCGGGGCAGGGCTCGCCGCAGCCCCGGTCCTGTCCCGGCCCGTGACACGGACCCCAGCCCAGCCCCAGGCCCAGCCCTCGGCCCCCAGCCCCGGGCAGGGCCCCTGGGCGCTGGCCCTAGCTCGGTCGTGGCCCTGCGGCTCCCAGAAAGGGGGATTTGGGCTCCTCGGGCACTTCTGGTGCTCTGGGCCTGTCGGGGACAGACGAGCAGCAGCTCCTGGGCAGCGGCACCGTGGAACAGGAGGGGCCGGGGGCAGCGCCCTCTCCCCTGCGGCGGGACCGTTTCCCCGCGGGTGCCGTGGAAGGGGCTCTGGGGAGACAGCCGTGGCCTCCCGTCTCCCCTCATCACCGTCCCCGCTCCCGCAGCCGGGGCCCCGCGGGCAGGGAAGGGTTAAGCGAGATTCCCCGCAGCCCCGGGCGTGGCAGCGCTTGTTCCACCTTTCATGTCCCAGCTCGTTCCGCCCGGCCGCCGCCGCCGTGAGGGCCGGGCTGGCGGTGACTCAGGCGGGGCGGGGAGCGCGGGCTGCGGGCTCCCGGCGTGAGGGAGGGACGGGGGGCCGAGCACCCCGCGCCGAGCACGGCTCGGGTGTCCGCAGTGCGGGGACGGCTTCGGGTTCCTCACGGAAACGACACTGAGGGGCTGGAGCGTGTCCCAGGAGGGAGCAGAGCTGCGGAAGAGTGGAGCAGCGGGCTGAGGGAGCTGGGGGACTCACCCTGGAGAAAAGGGGCTCAGGAGGGACCTTCTCGCTCTCTACAACCGCGTAACAGGAGGGTAGAGACAGGCGGGGGTCAGGCTCTGCTCCCAGGTAATAAATGACAGGATGAGAGGTCACGGCCTCAAGCTGCACCAGAAGAGGTTTAGGCGGGATATTTGGAAGATTCCTCTCGGAAAGGGCTGTCCAGCCCTGGCACAGCTGCCCAGTCCCCATCCCTGAGGAGACTGAACAGTGATGTGAATGTGGCACCTGGGGACATGGGCTAGTGCTGGGGGAGCAGCTGGACTCAGTGAATCATGGAACGGTTTGGATTGAAGGGACCTTACACCTCATCCAGTTCCATCTCCCTGCCATGGACACCTTCCACTGTCCCAGGTTGCTCCAAGCCCTGTCCAGCCTGGCCTCGGGCACTGCCAGGGATGGGGCAGCCCCAGCTTCTCTGGGCACCCAGTGCCAGGGCCTCACCACCCTCATAGGGATTTCTTCCCAAAATCCCAACTAAACTCACCTCTGGCAATGGGAAGCCATTCTCCTCTGTCCTGTCACTCCAGGCCCTTGTCTAAAGTTCAGATCTTTTGGAGCCCCTTCAGGCACTGGAATTGAGGTAACAATTCATCAGCTGCTTGGCTTCTCTTCTATGGACAGAACACTTCTGCTCTCTAATGGAATGTAGTGTTGTCTTTGTTTACATCTTTGATATAATCCCTCTTCCGTCATCAGGAAACTGCAAAGGATCTGTTTTGAGGCCCCAAAAATGATGGCACTGCTGATAGTGTCATGGCTATGATACAGCTATTTAAGGTAGGACCTATCAGACTGAACACTGGTGACTGCTGCAGAGGAGGCTGTATCAGCACCAGCCATGCCACAGACCTTGGAATGCTGCCACGATGCACACAGGGGCAATTCAGACCTTCCAGGCCAAAAAGATGAACTGTAGCTGAACCCCACTGGATACAAGGGAGCTACACCATCTGCCTGTAAGGAAAGCCAGTTTCAATATGAGTTTGGAGCTTTTCCCTGTATGATACTGAAATATAAATTGGTGAAATCCCTCAGAAAGTCAGGTTTAAACTGTTTCATTAGTTTTTCTACAAGGTTTCAGTGTGTGACTTTACAAACCTTTTATCCTTAAATAATGATAACTTGTAGTAAGAGTTTGGAATTATCTGTAAAAGAACTTAAAATCTTTGTGAACTTTGGCTTTTAGATTCTATCAGCCAGCAAGGACCTGTGTGAGTTATTCCGACATGTTATTACGTGAGGGAAATCCCAGTGAAAACACACTGGCCTTCCCAGAGCTTGTGTTCAGAACTACCCCCTACACTCTTGTTTCAGCCTTTATCTCACACCAGTTTAATCTACTTCATTAAGTCTCATAACCTGTATTTGAGTAAAGTACTTCTCAGTAATGTAAATACAATTATCACCTTTCAGTCTTCTTGCTGTTAAATAGAAAACATTTTAAACCTCTCATTTTTTCTTTTCCCCATCATGTAAATGGTATTGGTGGACCTTTTCTGTTCCAGCTTTTCAAAACAAACTTTCAAACCTGAATATCAAACAGGATGCTGTTACTTTCAGTTTCACTACTGCTGTATACACAAATACGTCACCAACATTTTATTGGAGTAGGTTTGACTTCTCCTGAGCCAATTTCTTTTGCGCTCCAGAGTGAATATTACCTGGAATTGCTGATTTTAAAGCTATTCCTAATGGAATAAAAAGGCCTGCATCCTTCCACTTGGGAATTAGTAATAAAGTTTTGCTGCTTTTCTATTCTGAATGTTGGCTGTGTTTATTTTCTTGTATTATTGCCAGGATAATATTGGTTATTTGAGAGAATCTTCTTTCCCTGTAAATGCAATGTGCGTGTGTAAGTGGTGTTTGGTTTTCATGAATTACAATGTGTTTGCATTGTTACACTGGATTAGTGCAGTAATCCAAACTGGGTAATTACTGTTTGTCACCAGTGTCTCAGCAGGCTCCCTCTGCCAACGTCCTTCAAACAAGGGACACTTGTGCCCCAGATTGACGATGTCTGGATTAACCACATGGGATAAAACAAAGCGTGTGGAATGAGGTGAGACCTAATTTCAGATTGTGGTAGCTGCTTCTGCTGGGACTGCAGCTCAGAGTTAGCAGAGCATGGCAGGGAACACCCAGAGCAGGGGGCAACAGCTGGGAGAACACCCTGAGCAGGGGGAAGAACACCCTGAGCAGGGGCAGCAGCAGGGAGAACACCCTGAGCAGGGGCAGCAGCAGGGAGAACACCCTGAGCAGGGGCAGCAGCAGGGAGAACACCCTGAGCAGGGGCAGCAGCAGGGAGAACACCCTGAGCAGGGGCAGCAGCAGGGAGAACACCCTGAGCAGGGGCAGCAGCAGGGAGAACACCCTGAGCAGGGGCAGCAGCAGGGAGAACACCCTGAGCAGGGGCAGCAGCAGGGAGAACACCCTGAGCAGGGGCAGCAGCAGGGAGAACACCCTGAGCAGGGGCAGCAGCAGGGAGAACACCCTGAGCAGGGGCAGCAGCAGGGAGAACACCCTGAGCAGGGGCAGCAGCAGGGAGAACACCCTGAGCAGGGGCAGCAGCAGGGAGAACACCCTGAGCAGGGGCAGCAGCAGGGAGAACACCCTGAGCAGGGGCAGCAGCAGGGAGAACACCCTGAGCAGGGGCAGCAGCAGGGAGAACACCCTGAGCAGGGGCAGCAGCAGGGAGAACACCCTGAGCAGGGGCAGCAGCAGGGAGAACACCCTGAGCAGGGGCAGCAGCAGGGAGAACACCCTGAGCAGGGGCAGCAGCAGGGAGAACACCCTGAGCAGGGGCAGCAGCAGGGAGAACACCCTGAGCAGGGGCAGCAGCAGGGAGAACACCCTGAGCAGGGGCAGCAGCAGGGAGAACACCCTGAGCAGGGGCAGCAGCAGGGAGAACACCCTGAGCAGGGGCAGCAGCAGGGAGAACACCCTGAGCAGGGGCAGCAGCAGGGAGAACACCCTGAGCAGGGGCAGCAGCAGGGAGAACACCCTGAGCAGGGGCAGCAGCAGGGAGAACACCCTGAGCAGGGGCAGCAGCAGGGAGAACACCCTGAGCAGGGGCAGCAGCAGGGAGAACACCCTGAGCAGGGGCAGCAGCAGGGAGAACACCCTGAGCAGGGGCAGCAGCAGGGAGAACACCCTGAGCAGGGGCAGCAGCAGGGAGAACACCCTGAGCAGGGGCAGCAGCAGGGAGAACACCCTGAGCAGGGGCAGCAGCAGGGAGAACTGCACTGTTCTCCCCAGGAACCAGCACAGCCCACATGTGTTGGACAGGTCATGCTGGGGTACTCCTCCAGCCCTCAGTTTTGGCAGCAGCCCGAACAGGAGCACTGCGAGGGGTCTCAGCACTGATAAAGGGGGATTGCACAAGTTTGTGTCCTCAAGTGCCACAGAATTCAGAACACGTGGGGAGATGGCAATCAAGCTCATGGTTTAGTGGTGCTGGGCTGGTGCTTGGTCTTGGCACTCTTACATGTCTGTTGTGACTGTAATTCTTCTGTGATTCTATGATTTTAAAATTGAAATCCTGGAAATCTGACCTGATGGGAGCTTGGCTTCTGGTAGGTTTAGATGGGATACTGGGAGGAAGTTCTCCCCTGGCAGGGTGGGCAGGCCCTGGCACAGGGGGACAGCTGTCCCTGGATCCCTGGCAGTGCCCAAGGCCAGGCTGGATGGGGCTTGGAGCGGCCTGGGACAGTGGAAGGTGTCCCTGCCATGGCAGGGGTGGGATTAGATGGCTTTGAGGTCCCTTCCCACCCAAACCATTCCATGGCTCTGTGATTAGCAGGCGGCCCCTGGTCCATCCACCAGTGAGCCGCTGGCCTGCTGTGGTCACTGACAGGATGTGAGGAACAGACACGTTACCTGCCCCAAAGGCACCACGAGCACAGACAAGGTAATCTGGAGAGCAGGAACTCATTCCAGAGCCGCTTCTCCAGCAGTGCAGACCCACGGGCTCTTTGATAGTGGAGAAGGTGGTGAATCTTCCCCTTGACTCCACACGGGTGACTCATCCCAGCTGCCACTCTGGGCTTGATCTGCTCAGGCTCTGCATGTGTACACATCAGATTATCTGGGTTAAGTGCAGCTTTGCTTTTGCCCTTTATCTGTCTGCTCTGAAGCTGTTTAACATGATCTGCCTGTTTTTGTGCCAGCTCAGTTTCAGGAGTCCCAGGCACTGACTGGCACTGAGGTGATTTCTTCTGCAGTGACCGCAGGCTTGGTCACTCATCTCACAGGTCCCTTATGCAATTCCCACCCCTGCTGTGCTGACAGAATTGGAAAAGTCTCTCCAGCAGTTGCACAAGCCATCCCCCTCTAGCTCTTCACAGTGACTTTTTTAATGTGGAGAAATCCCACATTATTCTAACAAGCAGAACCAACATCTGCATGGAACCCTGGGAGGGGGAACAGAAATGTGGCCTTGCAGTTTCACTGTTAGAAGTTGTTTGCTTTTTTAAAGAAAACTGCCTTCAATTAAAGGGGCTGATGGTGAATAATCTGTGAAGAATCGGTGTTGTATTTATACAGCAGCACTGTTTGGGTACCAGTGCAGGAAGTTGTTGTGAGGGTTTGCTGTCTTGTTGTTTACCAGTGTTCAGCCCTGATGGCAGTCCTTTCCTTCTGGGGAAAACCCAGGAAGGGTGCTTGACCTAAGGAAGGAAGGTCCCTGGGATCTGGCCTTAACCATGACCCCACTGGAGGGTCCCCATGCAGACAGGGGGATTCAGAACATCCAGTACGACCTGAGCAAGAGAAAATCCAGACCTGCTTGGCTAGGCCAGTCCCCAGTCCCACTCAGGAACAAGGATATCCAGAGCCAGAGCTCACCCTGCACTGGCAGGGCCTCTGTCTTCAGTAGTCAAGGGAGACACATTTTAATTCCTAGTCCAGACTGGTCGCAGCTTGAACCTTCCTTCTGAGGGGACGAGGTGCAGACCCTGATCTCTGTGGTCACCAGGGACAGGATCCGAGGGAATGGCTGGAGTTCTGTCCGGGGAGGGTTAGGCTGGGTATCAGAAAAAGGTTCTGCCCCAGAGGGCGGCTGAGCACAGGGATGGGCTCCCCAGAGCAGCTGTCACAGCTACAGGAGGTGTTTGGACATAAATACTCTTTGGCACACGGTGGGACCCGTGGGGACAGTCCTACCGTGCAGGGCCGGCAGCCGGGCTGCTGGAGCGCGGAGAGGGCAAACAGCGGCACTGTGTGCCTGCTCTGTCCTCCCTGAGGAGACACAGCCGCAGCGCGCAGCGGCTCCTGAGTCCAATGCTGGTTCAGGGTTATTAAATAAATGAGGATTCACCACAACTGCAGGTCAATGGTTTCTGCAGGCACAGAACTGCACCTTTTCATAGGCGGTGAGCGGCACGGGCCCTGAGCCGCTCCCGGAGCCGTTCAATCCCCCCGCTCCAGGATCCTCTC